CGCTGGCCCTGCTGACCCTCCAGGCCCGTTACGAGCTGCGGGTGGAGCTCGAGGACTTCGAGAACAACTCGGCCTCGGCCACGTACGGCTCCTTCGCGCTGTCGCCCACGGCCATCAGCCCCGAGGAGGACGGCTACACCCTGCACGTGGCCGGCTTCGTCGACGGCGGCGCCGGTGAGGGTCGTCCAAGGGGTCGGCGGGGGGCAACGCGGTTGAGGTTGACCTTTGGGTGATCAATGGGGGTCAATGGAGGTCAACGGTGGTCAACCAAGTCAAGGTTGACCATTGGGAGGTCAACGGTGGTCAACCGACTCAAGGTTGACCATTGGGAGGTCAATGGGAGTCAATGGGGGTCAATGGAGGTCAACGGTGGTCAACCGAGTCAAGGTTGACCATTGGGTGGTCAATGAGGGGCAACTGAGTCAAGGTTGACCATTGGGCGGTCAATGGGAGTCAATGGGGATCAATGGAGGTCAACGGTGGTCAACTGAATCAAGGTTGACCATTGGGAGGTCAGTGGGGGTCAACCGAGTCAAGGTTGACCATTGGGTGGTCAATGAGGAGCAACCGAGTCAAAGTTGACCATTGGGTGGTCAATGGGCTCAATGGAGGTCAATGGTGGTCAACGGTGGCCAACCAAGTCAAAGTCAACCATGGGAGGGTCAATGGTGGCCAATGGTGGTCAATGGGAGTCAATGGGGATCAATGGAGATCAACGGTGGTCAACCAAGTCAAGGTTGATCATTGGGAGGTCAGTGGGGGTCAACAGTGGTCAAGCAAATCAAGGTTGATCACTGAGGAGGTCAACAGTAGTCAACAAGTCAAGGTTGACCAATGGGTGGTCAATGGGGGTCAGTGGTGGTCAATGGTGGTCAATGAGGTCAATGGTGGTCAGTGGTGGTCAACGGTGGTCAACGATGGTCAACCAGGTCAAGGTCAAGGTGGTCAAGGTCAACCATTGGGAGGTCAGTGGTGGTCAATGGGATCAATGGTGGTCAATGATGGTCAACGGTGGTCAACCAAGTCAAGGTCAACCATGGGAGGGTCAACGGTGACCAATGGTGGTCAATGGGGTCAATGGTGGCCAATCAAGTCAAAGTCAACCATGGTCAGTGCGGTCAATGGGGTCAATGGTGGTCAATGGTGGCCAACCAAGTCAAAGTCAACCATGGGAGGGTCAATAGTGATCAATGGTGGTCAATGGTGGTCAACGGTGGTCAAGCAAGTCAAAGTCAACCATGGGGAGGTCAGTGGGGTCAGTGGTGGTCAATGGTGGTCAATGGGATCAATGGGGTCAATGGTGGTCAATGGTGGCCAACCAAGTCAAAGTCAACCATGGGAGGGTCAATAGTGATCAATGGTGGTCAATGGTGGTCAACGGTGGTCAAGCAAGTCAAAGTCAACCATGGGGAGGTCAGTGGGGTCAGTGGTGGTCAACGGTGGCCAACCAAGTCAAAGTCAACCATGGGAGGGTCAATGGTGGTCAATGGGATCAATGGGGTCAATGGTGGTCAATGGAGGTCAGTGGTGGTCAGTGGTGGTCAACGGTGGCCAACCAAGTCAAAGTCAACCATGGGAGGGTCAATGATGATCAATGGGGGTCAATGGTGGTCAACGGTCACCAACCAAGTCGAAGTCAACCATGGGAGGGTCAATGATGATCAATGGTGGTCAATGGTGGTCAACGGTCACCAACCAAGTCAAAGTCAACCATGGGAGGGTCAATGGTGGTCAATGGTGGTCAATGGTGGTCAACGATGGCCAACCAGGTCAAGGTCAACCATGGGAGGGTCAATGGTGGTCAATGGGATCAATGGTGGTCAATGGTGGTCAATGGTGGTCAATGGTGGTCAGTGGTGGTCAACCGTCGCCAACCAAGTCAAAGTCAACCATGGGAGGGTCAATGGTGGCCAATGGTGGTCAACGGTGGCCAACCAATTCAAGGTCAACCATGGGAGGGTCAATGGTGGTCAATGGTGATCAATGGTGGTCAACGGTGGCCAACCACATCAAAGCCAACCATGGCAAGCTCAACGGTGGCCAACAGCGGCCAACCGCGGCGCGCCTTGCCCACCACCAGGCGACTCGCTCAGCTACCACAACGGCCAGAAGTTCTCCACCTTCGACCGCGACCAGGACCTCTTCGCCCAGAACTGCGCCGCGCTCTCCTCGGGGGCCTGGTGGTTCCGCAGCTGCCACTTCTCCAACCTCAACGGCTTCTACCTGGCCGGGCCGCACCTGTCCTACGCCAACGGCATCAACTGGGCCCAGTGGAAGGGCTTCTACTACTCCCTCAAGCGCAGCGAGATGAAGATCCGCCGCCTCTGAGGGCCACGCCCGCCCCCCCCCGCCGCCAGCTGCCACTTCTCCAACCTCAACGGCTTCTACCTGGCCGGGCCGCACCTGTCCTACGCCAACGGCATCAACTGGGCCCAGTGGAAGGGCTTCTACTACTCCCTCAAGCGCAGCGAGATGAAGATCCGCCGCCTCTGAGGGCCACGCCCGCCCCCCCCCGC